ATTTATTTATTACTCTGTATGGAATTTTAGGGTGTTCTGATGGTTGGCCCCCCTGGGACTGGCAAAACCATGCTAGCAAAAGCTGTTGCTACGGAATGTGGGACAACGTTCTTCAATGTTTCCTCCTCCACTCTGACGTCCAAATACAGGGGCGAGTCTGAGAAGCTAGTCCGCCTGTTGTTTGAAATGGTAAGTCCTCGATGCTAGGGACCTTTGTTGGTTTATCAAGCCCCTCACAGCACATTGTTGCAGGATTGAGTTCATTATCCCTAGAACCTCTCCAGTGGATGGGTGTGCACGCTTATATAGCAGACCCTTCTTGATGTATATTTGAGGATTGTGGAGTAAATTACCCTTGTCTCTAGAAGCAAAATGTGTTTCATCTATTTTCTCTGTTCCAAGCTGAAGGTTGGTTTCTGAAAATCAAGGGCCAGATCTTGAACTGCAGCTGAGAAATACTTACACACAGTCTCGCCCCAGGAACTGTGTTGTGTGTGTGCAAATATGCCATTTACCCTCTCCTCATCCTTATTTGCTTCTGCACTTCCAAGATGGTGCCCATTAAAACACCTTGTGATTTTTAAATAGGCTGGAAACTCCCCTCCCAACCTTTGACTTCACAAGAAGCACAATATGTATATTACAAATAGTATATTTTGATTGTTCCCTCACCTCCTTTGCAGGATCAAGACCTAAGAAAACAAAGGTCAGATATAGAACAATCCCTATCAGTCTGCATCCTTAAAGGAAACCTGCACAACACTTTCAAAAGATGAGCCTGGGAGCTTGTGACATACCCAGGGTACAATCTAGACTAATGAGTAACTGTGTCATCCTTGCCCTATAAACTTTATACTGATTTGTTGCTGTAGCCTCTAGTCTGGACTGCTCACAAACAGCCTCCAGCATGCAAGTCACTGCCAGCTATGTCTGTGTGTGTGCTGCAGGGTGACCTCAGCTCACTCCCTGTCTTAGATCCCCCCCCCCCTCCGAAATATGTGTCCTGTACTGCCCAGCCCTCTCCTGGACAATACAAGTATGTTAAGTCTCTTTTTTTATTTAAGATAATATACCAGCTTAGTATTTCAAATAGTTCTTCAGACACCTCAATTTAAACATACTGGATTAGATAAAACAATAAAACAAGTTTATTAACTACAAAGAGATTTTAAGTGAATACAAGTAATGAGGCATAAAAGTCAGAAGTGGTTACAAGAAAAATAAAGATAAAATACAACTAGCGCCTTAACTATGTTAAATGCACAGCGAAGTTTTTCTCTCCACATGCTCTCAACAGGCTTATTGGCCAAACTTCTTAGGCCAGGACCCCTTCTTCCTTTGTCTCTTCTCATGCAATGAATTGATGGGCAGAAAGAGAGGGAGGAGAGGGGGTGGCTTGGGGTGTTTGTCCCCCTTTTCTATAGTGTCAGCCCCCCCTTTGGAAAACATTTCCAGCTGAGATTCGGGAGACAGAGCATCTACAGAAAGGGATCTTCCCTGCTGCTCTTCCTCACCTGTTGGAGCTTCTTTTGTTTTCCTTCCTGCTTGATGACTTTGTTTACTTCTTAAATGCAGATTAAGCAGGGCACGTTCTTTTGTTTGAGAGAGATGTGTTTGCCACCTCAGTTTGGAACATGTGTTAATAACATCATACAGGGAAACCTTCATGGGCAGCGGGTCGCATTGGCTGGGGGCGGCTCAGCCTCCCCAAACATTCAGGCATGACCCCACCCCCTGCCGTGACCACTCCCTGCGTGTGGCTCCAATTCTCCGGCTCCAGCCCCCCCAGAGCACCGATGGTGTGGCTGGGGCCACGCACCGCCCGCCTTCCCGTGCTCCTGAACTGAGGAGGCTGCAGCTGGCGCTGGGGCCGCCCGCCCTCCCGGTGCTCCTTTGGGGCTGGGGGGCTAGCCGCAGGGGGTGGGGGAAGGGAGGGCTTGGCTCCGGTGGGGGAGGGAAGGGGCGGGACCTCGGATGGAAGGGGCGGGGCTGGGGGTTAGCCTCCCCTGGCAATTCACGCGACGTCCATGGAAATCTTATAACTGCACATACAGTGTTGCTACACATTTTATCAAGACAATATTGACGAGCAAATTGAGTCTTCAAATGACACCTTACAAGGCATACTTTGTACAAAGATTATTACAACAGTGTGTAGGGTGTGGACACAGGTACATTCTTTCACAGAGCTTAAATTCATTACTCTGCTAGACACTAAAAATCATGGACTGAACAGAGACACTGGATTTATGGTTTATTACAACAATCTGTAACCAACTAACCCCCCTCCTCCCCTTTTTATCCTATGACTGCAGAGGTGTTAATGGGCCACTCTACCTTGAATGGTCCCTTAGAATACATGCTAAAGAATCTGTTCCACTTTGTATTTAGCTGTGCCATTTGGAGTACCTTTCCTGGACCCAAAGAGCTCTGTGTGGCTCAAAAGCTTGCCTCTCTCACCAACGGAAGTTGGTCCAGTAAAAGATAATCCCTCACCGACCTTGTCTCTCTAATATCCTCGGACTGACACAGCTACAACTACACTGCATACAAGAAAACAAGTAACACACACAGACTTCTGCACATGCTTAACTTTCTGCACTGTGAAAGTTACCATTGACCTCAGTGGTACGACTGTGTATGTGTGGGGTGTGTGTGTGTGTGTGTGTGTGTGTGTGTGTGTGTAAAGTTAGGCACATGGGGAAGTCTTTGCAGGGTCGGGATCTTAGATGAATTTTTCTGTGGCTGGGACATATCTTCCATTTGTTCAGCACCGAGCACAATAGGGCCTGAAGCCTGACTGGGGCTGGTGCTTGCGACTGCAATCTAAGTCATTGTATTTTCACTTCAATAAAGGCCAGGTTTTATGCACCAACAACAATCTTCATTGATGAAATCGATTCCATCTGCAGCCGCAGAGGCACTTCCGACGAACATGAAGCAAGTCGCAGGGTCAAGTCGGAGCTGCTGGTTCAGATGGACGGTAATTGGGGTTTAGATACCTCCGAGTTGAGCTTCTGTTTCTCTTCTGGTTATGGACATGCTTTGTAGACACTTCATTGTTCAGAAATGAGTAGAGCTGGCAGAAAACAACCACCTCTTTTTATTGGGGGAGGGGGAGAGATCTCTTCAATTCTGAAGTGTTCAAAATGGGCCCATCTCTTGGTGAATGAGAGTCCAGAATATTTAATTTTTTTAAAGTATATTTTTTATAAGCATGACATTGCTGCAAAAGTTTTGTTTTATATAAAGCCATATTCAATAAACTTTCATTTGAAAAATGTAGCCTGCTCTAGGAGAAGCCTATTTTGAACATTCATGCAGTTTAACACAGACATTTGTGTGTGGTGCAGTGCACAGGGGGTTTCTGCAATACAAAGTTGTGAACAAATGCCTTCCTTGACTCTTCCACTCAGGACCTCTTTGTTTGATTTGACTAGACCAGACCTTGCATTGACAACTAGTGTCCTTTTATTAATAAGATTTACCATTGGATCACTATTCTCTGTATATGGACCATTTAACACCAGCATCAAAGGAATATTTATGGTACAGGGGTTTGACTACCCCCCACTCTGTTGTTGCTCATTGTAGGGCAGCACCCCCAAGTGTGTAGGCACACCCAGAGGCAGATTAAGGTTTCCTGGGGCCTTGGACCAGAGCAAGTGGGGGGGCCCACCCCTTCCACCTGCATTCCTGCCCCAATTCCACCCCTTCTGCCTGCGACCCCACCTATGGCCTCATCTCTTTGTGCCCCTTTTCCCAGGCCCCACCTTTGTTCCCCCCCCCCCCATTCTGCACCCCCACTGCGGCCCTGCAACCCATTTGCTACTTTCTACTCCCCACCCCACTGTGGCCCTAAGACCGGAGAAGCTCTGTCCCCCTCCGCCACAGCCCCAGGCTGCAGCAGGGAGTGAGACCTCCCCCAGCCCCGAGGCCGCGGCAGGTAGCGAGATATCCTTCAGTCCCATGGCCACAGCAGAGGTCCGGGTGCTGGGGCTTCCCCTGCCACCCCGTGGCTTCTGCGGGGGCCCGGGGTAAGGGTGCTGGGGCTTCTCCTGCCCGCTTGGCACTTCTGCTAGAGAGCGCGGGGGCTTCCCTTGCCGCCACCCTCAGCTTCTGCCTGGGACAGAGTCGGAGGGCGCTGGGGCCTTCCCCTGCTGCCCTCCAGCTTTTGTCAGGAAGCAGGGTCAGGGGGTGCAGGGGCTTCCCCCGTTCTGCGGGAGAGCAGGGTTGGGGTGCGGGGGCTTCCCCTGCCACCCCTGGCTTCTGCCAGGGAGCGGGTTCGGTGCACGTTGGCTTCCCCCACCCCCCGGCTTCTGCCAGGGAGTCAGGTTGGCGTGTGGAGGCTTCCCCTGTCCCGCTCGCCCGGCGGTGCTGTCCACCACTGGGCACAACACAGAAAATGAAGGGACAACAGCTTTTTTGCCCAGAGGGAATCAGTTTCTTTTTTAATCTAACTGCTTGGATTGGGGGGTGACGGAAAGTTTTTTACCATCTCTTTAGTAGCCAATACAGAATAAGTTGGTAGTTTCAGTTCAGTTCATAGTGGGCAAGTGTCCACGCATCACAAAACTACGTTGTTGGCAGTCTGGCAGCGGCCAAGAACTGAACTGTCAGGCAGAATAAACTGTTCTCTCCTTCCTAGAAGTAGGTGCTGCCTCCAAAGCAGAGCTGGGGTATGTTGGGAGAGTGGTATAGAGAAGCTTGCACCCATGTTGTGCCCATGTACTGATAAATGCAGTGCCTCCTTCTCCAAGGTTTGTCAGTCCAGCACCTTTAGCAAACATGTTATTTGCTACGATCATTAAAATGACTCTTTCCTACACTGTTGGACTTGCAGGAGTAGGTGGTGCACTAGAAAACGATGACCCTTCCAAAATGGTGATGGTGCTGGCTGCTACAAACTTTCCCTGGGACATTGATGAAGCATTGCGAAGAAGATTAGAGAAACGGATTTATATACCTCTGCCAACAGGTACTATTGCTACAAGCATTTTCCTTTAAATGTTTTTTCTAGGAAACTGTTCTTCACTGTATCTCTTAGGATTGTGAAGACCGTTGATATTTCTGTTCTAAATATTGCATTTGTAGGGTTAATAACATGGCTGGCTGTTTTCTTTAAAAAATTGCTTGGAGCTCAGAAACAATGAGCTATGGTATTTCATTACAGACCCATTGATGGGTTCTTACGTTTTGAAACCAAGTTAGTTTTAATGAGCCTGGAATTATTTTAAATGTTGCAGTCAATCCTTGAGTGATCATCAAAGGAAGCCTTTGGACTTTTTAAGAAATATTGCAAATGCATTCCCATGCCCTTGCAGATGAATGCAGAGAAGTGGATCCATGAATTATCGCTTTCAAGCTTAGCACATTGTAAATCACTGCTTGCCGGCCTTTATGCCTAGACTTCAAGTCACTCAAAATGTAGCAGACTGATTGCTTTCCTGCCCAAGATGCCTTGGCTTGTATTGTCATTCATTCCTGGCTGTCACTCGTATACCCTATTAATTTCAAGATTCGTATCACTTGAAGGTTGTATAGCTTTGTTTCTTCTTGGGACAGTGGATGCCTTGTGTCACTGCATGAGCACACAAGATAACAAGATGTGTGTTCATGGTGACAGCCGTTGTGATTGAGTTTAACAGGTATAAGGATATTTTAATAGGTATACAGCTTGTTTTTTGCAGCTCACAGACAGTAATAGCTCATAACAGGATGACTGTCTTTATGACCGATTAGTCTAAAATTCTATCAGTTTGCTCTGGTTTCTAATTGAACAAGACTTGCTTTGGACATAGAGTAATACACCCTGCACTTCTTACATGAGGTAGATTTGCAACTGTAGCTGTGAGTTTACATTCTATCATCTTACTCCGCATATGAGGAAGTTAAATTGTTCTGTGCATCTCCAGACGATGTATTTACATTCATGCTTTGTAATTTGAGATCACCAGGGATTTCAGTTGGAAAAAGTTTAAACAAAATAAATAAACTGTAGGATCTGGTGTAGTGTGAATTTTATAATGTGATATTTCTAAAATGACATAAGGCCCTGGGAAAAACTTAGGAAAATATTGTGTTTTAGAGAAACAATTCTGCATGTGTGCCATATGTGCATCTATGGTGTTCTGTAAATAATAAATAACCCTTCTAAAGAAAATGCCCTCTCTCTGTACAGACCCCCGGATTATAGGTAATTTTGTAAGGCACTTAGGTACCACAGTAGTATAAATACGTTCTATATTTTCTTTTTCACTGTTCTCTGTTAGTCACCAGGGACACTTATAAAACAGGAGTTGTGTTCTTAAGATTTTATCTGCTCATCTTGCTGCTTCCCTCTCAAAGTGGTCATCCTCTGTTTTTAAGACATCAAAGCTGGTTGCTGTAGAAATGAAGATGCTGATGTAATGTACATTTTCCCTTGCAATAAAAAACTGAAAAGAAACCTTCTTTCTCTTCACCCCTGCCCCTCAAAATAACATAAAGGGGCAAATTTTCAAATGTGGATTCCCAAATCACAAGCGTAGGACTTGCATACGCACATGCTTTGTGTGCAGAAAGGTTAAATTGGCTGTGTAAATGGGTACTTATTTAGTCAGTTACCATGCTGTGCACACAGCACCTGTGTTTGAAAATTGGCCAATGCAATTGTTTCTAAATATAATTTCTCTGTTTTCCATGAGGTTTCAGCAACTCTGTTGGGCCCCAATTCAGCAAAGCACTTAAGCATGTGCTTAAAGTTTAGCATATGCTAAGTGCTTTGCTGAATGCTCTCTACCGCTATGTAAATGGAAATATTTGTGTCATCAAGTCCATGGTGTTTCTAATAAAACCATGTAAATAATGTGCAGTCCAACTTCTGAACAGTAGGGTGTATCCCAGGGGTCAGGAGGAGCATCAGAGGTTTGTAGGATCACGCCTTTGTGTCTTGTAAGAATAATATTCCCTGCTGGTCAGCTGTGTACAGTGAGAAAATGATGCATAACAAGGTATGTGATTATACCAGAGACAGTATCTGTTTGTCTCAGGGACATTGTGCAGAATGAGGCAAGTGGCTAAGTGCTTTCAGTCACCTGAGAAGTGTAAGCATTTGGTATGATTGCACTTCCTGAGCTGTTTTATGAAGTGTCTGTACAGGATAGTTTTTAACTACATGCTCTGCCAAAAATGTGATCGGTTTTGTTTTTCTAATATGTGAGTATCAAGGAGATCACTCACCATAGGTGCTGCCCAGTGTTCAGGCAGGGCATGCCAGGTTCTTTTCTTTCCTGGCACCCCCTGTTGAGAGCTGCTCTAGTCCTGTGGTGGTGTGCGCTTTCTGTGACGCAGCCCTCCTGCTGGGTGTCATGTTGATGTCCACCCCTTCTGGAGTATAAGAGTCCAGCAATGGGATAGCCCTCTAGGTAAAGCAAAGGGCTCCCGAGTCAGGGTCTTGACTCTTCTGTCTTTAGTGCCTTCTCTCATCTAGATTGCCCATCATGGTTAGACTTCTGGCTTTGATACTCCTAGCCTAAGGGGTGGTAGAGCAAGCTCTCCACCAGCTTCCGCTCCAGGGCTCAGTAGTAAGCAGCTACATCCTGCACCCCAGAGTGCTACACTGCTGCTTCTCTGGGTCACTTGCTACCTGTCCCCTCTTTTCACAACAGATGAAGTACAGTAGAACCTCAGAGTTACAAACGTTTCCGAGTTACGAACAACCTCCATTCCCGAGGTGCTCATAACTCTGAGGTTCTACTGTAAAGACTTTTAATAACTGGAATCAAAGATAGTCTCAAACCTTCAGAGAATCTGTAGGCTCTTCCCTTCTGGTGTGGCAATTTTGCCAAAGGAGGGCATCAGGCAGCAGGGGCTCCTGCAGTGCACCTTTCCAGGAACTCAGACTGTATGTCAGTTCACCTCCACTGTATGCTGCCTTGCTGAGCTGACCCGTTCCTTTTGTGCTCCTCCTCCAAGCCATGCATGCTTTGCAGGTATGGCCTGCGGAGGCTGCCTGGGTCCGGAGCAGCTGCTTATCCCCTTCCTTATTGGTGCTAGGTTTGTATAACCCATCATAAGGAGGCTTTTCATCTGTAGTTTCCATTTAAAGTCTAGATTGTGTTTGTCTTTTTGAGTATTTGTGTGTCATGTTGACTTGAACAAAAGTATTGTTAAACTTTAAACAAGTGATTCTTGTATCCTAGCAAAAGGCAGAGCAGAGCTGCTTAAGATTAATCTTCGGGAAGTAGAGATGGATCCTGATATACACCTCGAAGAAATTGCTGAGAAGATTGAAGGCTACTCTGGTGCTGATATAACTAATGTTTGCAGGTATTTTGTTCACTTTATTTGCAAACAAATCTAAAATCAATAATTACGTTACTCCGTAAAAGAGAGCAGCACCAGGCCCTACCCACAATAGTTGAAAGCATTTTAGCAGAAACCATGTTTAAGGCTTGAATACATTTGCTAGCACTATTCAGTACAATAGTATGGTTCTTAGAAAGCATGGAGTCTGTGTACAAGATGTGATGGTGTCTACTATGGTCGTGGGAGAACAGACAGCCTGAGCAAATGTTTTGTTGCCATTGTCTGCTTTCATCGACTCATGTTTTAATCTTCTAATCTAATATAAAGCCGGGTGGTTTGGGGTTTTTTAACCCTGTGGGTTTAGGAGCTGGAATTTCCTGCTGCAGAGAGAAACAAGATATTTTACTTATTCCTATATAATATTTTCTACTGCAGTCATGTCCAGAGACCCAATCAGGACTCAGATGCTCTCTGTGCTAGATAGAGCTGGCTGGAAACTGGAATCCCTATTTTGCAGGATATTCCAAAATTTAAAAAATATATTGCTTTGAACCAAAAAGATCAATGACATTTCCCGCAGAACGGGAATTCCAAAATTTTGTTTTGAAAAAGTCAAAATGACCTTTTGTTTTGATCTTTTTCAAACATTTCAGTGGCTTTCTGCGCTCACTGGAACACTGTCAACCTGCCAGGCAGGGAGATGGGCAACTTGGGGACCCTGAGAGCTTGGCTGCCAAGGAGCCATAAGCCTGGGAGCTTGGGATCTGAGGCTTCCGGGGTCCCCCAGGCTTTGCAGCAGACTGCCTGGTTTCCATCAGAATTTCATCAAAATCATTGTTACTGCAAAACATTTCAATTTAGAAGAATTTGCATTTTCTAATAGAAAAACGTTCTGCTGGAAAACGTCCAACCTGTGCGAGAGCTAGGGGCTGTACATCAAGTACAAACACCTGATCCCTGCCCAGGGGAACTGACACTCTACGAACATGTCTCAATAATTTGGTGACCCATATTTCTACTGATTAAGTGGCCATTAACCTGTGTTGAAATGACTCAAGAGTTTTGAAATCTTTTGTGTTGAACTGTAGTTCAATAATAGTTAGATTAAATGTTATCCCTCGGGCCTATATTCTCCCTTGCTGGGAAAACTGCAAAAAGAGAATCCATAACTGAAAATTCCACATGGGCCATGCTGTGAGAAATGAGCGACATGCTCTTTTCTGGTGAGCAGGGGTTAGAAAGGGCCAGGGGAAGAGTCTACCAGACGAATAGAACATAAAGATCTGCAGGCATCGGTGTCCTCAGCCCTGTGGATTAATATGTCATGTGCTTTTTGGCTGCCACTCTGCACTTTCCAAATCAAGTCACCCTGCCAAAACTGGCAGCAGGGCTGAATTGCAAGTCAAGCTGCCATTGGCTCCCCTCTCCCCCCCACCCCCAGGGACTGCACACTGCTAAGGAGGTTGAAGCCATGGAGTGGGAGTTAGTGCTGCAACAGAGGGGAACAGACGCTCCTGAGTGTTTCAAAAAGGAGGGAGCAGTTGAGCACAATTTTTTTCATGAGTTTAGTGACTGCATTGAAGTCACAAGATTCATCTCCATGAATCATTGTAAAAGGTTTTCAGTTTTATAGTTTTAATTATCTCTGCACATTTACCATATGCTTAAATGGATTTGGGTACCAATGCATTCTTTACATCAAATGAATGTAGTGATCTTGGAACATAGAGGCGAAGAAAGATGTGTTCTACATCTTAAAAGTTAATGCTTTCTTAAGTGTTCCTTCCAGTGAAGCCTGAGAATATAATCAAAATTCATATGGCTCGCAGCACACACTACTGACATTTAGTTCCCATGTATTTTCCTTTGTTTCCAGGGATGCCTCTTTGATGGCAATGAGACGGCGCATTAACGGCTTAACCCCAGAAGAGATCCGTGCACTTTCTAAAGAGGAACTTCAGATGCCTGTTACCAAGGGGGACTTTGAGCTGGCTCTGAAGAAAATCTCCAAGTCTGTTTCAGCTGCAGACCTGGAGAAGTATGAAAAATGGATGGCGGAGTTTGGATCTGCTTAACCTCAGTGACGTCTCTTCTGTGCTATAGTTTTTTTTAATCTTTTCCTGTTGTAAACTGTAAAATGAGTTAGAAATATTTTAAAAGGTTTAATAAAAGGTTTGATATTTTTTTTCATCTCGTGACAAGAATCTCCCCCCCCCCCCCTTTTTATATTTTTTTTTTTTTTGAATGAACCAAAAATGGTAACCCACACGAGACATAAAGATGCTTTCTGACTGAATAGTAAAATGCATAAATAGCAAGGGAAAAATACACTTTTGAAGATAAGCGGCACTTTTCCAGTTAATGTCAGTGTTCCTTATTTTCACACACACTAGTCCTTTCATGGCCCAAATCTGTAAATCAGACATGGGAGGGTGATGAGAGAAACTAGCAGAGACTTGCTGCACACCTTATTTGTAGGAATCGCTGTATTTCTAGTAAGGATCAGGTTCCTTGCCCATGTATGTGGCACTGAAGTTACTGTTCGGCTGCTGCTTCTCCTTTCACTAGCTTATTTTGAGAAAGTACATGGGTAAAATTGGCCTTGTTTACAGTGAGCCAGAGAGCAGTTTGCATCAAGACTCAAATTGTTAATGATTTTGTTGGAAACTTTCAGCCTGATTTTCCTCCCACTCTCACCAATTTTACACTGGTGTAACTTCACAGACTTGACTTTACGCCAGTGGAAGTGAAAGGAAAATTGGGACACTTGATTTCTTTTGGTCAATCTTAGGCCACATTTGCACCAGTTTAACCAAAGCTGTGATTTTTAAACTGATTTTAGTTGACCCTCTACTCTTGCACTATTACTCATCCCCCTATATTTTGTTTGTGTTTTCTAGATATTTTTTAATCTTATTTATTAAACACCAATAGTGTGCTTGACTCAATTCAAGACTAATACCAAGCCCAGTCCTGCTCCTAGAAGACAGACACAGGACACGGCACTCTCGTTTTCCTATCAGTCATGAACACTCTCTTTCCTAGACTTGGTACAGGACAACATTTGTTTACGCTGTGGAACTGTTTTTGCAGTTAAAACTATTTTATGCAGTTTTCTTAAATGTGTAAAAATGCTGCGACTGGGGAAATGATTAATTTCGGTAGATTGTCTCTCTTCTACCCTCCCTCCCCCCATGCCAGTGTAGTGCTGAAAAATGCTGGATTGGCAGCTTTGGAGAATGAAGGCCTCCGTCCCAGAGTGTGGCTGTCACACTGGAAGTGGCTGTGCTGGCCCCTGTCCACACGAGTTTGTACCGGAGCTTCCTCTGCTCGGAACAGAGAGAGAGTTCAGTTTCAGTGGCCATCCTGTCCTTGGCCTCTCTGCTGAGGCCGTTAATAAGGCTGCCAGTTGTGACGATGGGGATTGTAACATCGACCTGTTCCTTAGGAATTAGACCAAATCCACTTTTCATATGATCGCCAAACTGCTATGGCATGGAAGCAACTTCTTGCTATAAGTGACTTTGACCAGACCTAAAAAGGTTCCATCTACCAACTCCACCGAGCAAGCCATTCCTTCATAGTACCTGCAGGACATTGCCAGAATTGTTTAGATGAATTGCTAGTGCAAACACAACTCTGGCGCCTCACCCATTCACTTGTTAGGGGAGAGAGATGTCTGGGATTTATTCTACAGCATATAACTGGTTACGTGGGCTACATTTGCAATAGTTTAACTATGGATTCATTATCTGTTGATGCCTTGGATGTAGATAGCACCTTGGGCTGAGCCTGTGAACGGTACGGTTTGCTCTTTTCAAACAAAGGGGCTGCTCTAACTTGAATGGAAAAAATCCTAATAAATGTCCTGATGACTCTCATTCATGTTGCATTGTACTTTTGTTTGGATGCAGACTTTGGACTCAACTGTAGTTCTTCTGGCCCGAGCCCCTGTGGCTGACTTGGGCACGATGCCTCTTGAGCTCTGGCAGTGCAAGGGGAGCACAGGTGCTGCAGAGACCTTCCAAAGGGTGCAGCATTTGCTCCACTGGCCAGAGCTGGGGAAAGGGAATTGTGGGCCCTGCTGTGCTGTACCCCTGCCAGGGGAGGCTACGGGGTTCAGGGAACACATGGACTCTCGTTGTGGTCATCCCTTGCATGGTGGAGTGAGAAGGCTCCATTTGCCCTCTTTCCCCTGACTAGGTTGCTGCACTTGTGCAGGGCTGGGCATATTTGGACCCCTTGCGTTTTCACGTATCTCTAATGATACGTGTGACCATCAGACTAAATAAAGAGGCAGTCTCGGAAGTTGCAAGAGGAGCAAGTGGAAACCAAGTGTAATCTGTATTGTTCTAGAACAGAATTCATCCCTACTCAGGCAGTCAGCACAAGCCCTGTGGGCTTAAATGGGATTTAATTGGTTCATTGCCCTTTGCACAAGAATGAATGTCACCCCTAGTGAATAGCTGAGCCTTTCCTGGGGGGGGAGAAAAGCTTTTAAAAAATTGCAAGCTTCCATAATTACTCCTTGCTCCTTCGTGGGTAGTGAAGCTGTCAGACATTGCATTTTCCTGTAATTACTGTTGTTCATTTGATTTTAATGTTCTTCTTTCATGTGGCTACTACATGGACACTGCAGAAATTAAAGGACCCAATGAGATTCTCTAATTAGTACTACTGGAGTAGTTCCTTGATCCCCCATTGTGCTAGGCACTGTACAAACAGAGAGAGAGAGTCCCTGCCTGAAGAGCTTACAACCTAGGCAGACAGAAGACTGGAGGGGAACTGGAGGCAGGAAGTGACTTGCCCAAGGCAATGCAGCAGCTCTGGGACAGAGCTGGAAACAGAAGCACTTCTGACACCCAGTCAGGTGCCCTACCCACTAGATCATGTTGCCCTCCTCTATAGGTCCATCTTGTAACAAAAGTCTCCTTTGCTACCGTGATTTGCTAGGGTTGGTTGCCTCAGTAAACAGGGGTCACGCTTGGGGAATCAGTCATGGACTTTTCCCTCCTACCCCTTCAAATTCTGATAGGTGTTTTGGGCTTTGAAGGTTACACTTCAGCTTCCGATCTGGTGGGTGCGGCCGTAACTCCAATGAAATCAAAGGGATTCTACCTGCTACAAGTGACCGCAAGACTCTAACATTGCTCTCTGGGCTGCTGCACAATGCGAGTGGCCCCCGCAAGGTGCGTTCAGCCACCGTGATTCAGAAAGTCTCAAACGTCCGCATGTTCTTTTGCGTCATGTGAGGCAGTGACCCGCCTGCCAATGAGCGTGCTGGGAGGATGGAGTGATCTTAGGAGAGGTTTCATTACCCTTAGCTCCTCACTCAAAGTGCCACTTTAAAGTGACAGGTTTCAGAGTAGCAGCCGTGTTAGTCTGTATCCCCAAAAAGAACAGGAGTACTTGTGGCACCTTAGAGACTAACATTTATTGGAGCATAAGCTTTCATGGGCTCAAATAAATTTGTTAGTCTCTAAGGTGCCACAAGTACTCCTGTTCTTTCCACTTTAAAGTGTTAAGCCACCACATCGCATCATCGGAGCCATCTGTGAAACAAAATTCAGAGTGGTGGGGACTTAAATATTCAAACACTTTTTGAACCCATCCACACATGCAAGACCAAAATGTTATATCACTGAGCCGCCCATAATGAGCCTTCTCTCCCTCACCTCAAATCAATTTTCTCGTGTTGATGGTGCCCTTATAGAAATGTATTTCACAGCTGCAGCACAGACTTGTGAAAATGCCCCCAAATCACAGATTTTATTCTTTATCTGTATCATGGTAGCGCTCAGAGGCCCCAGCCAGGATCAGGGCCCCGTTGTAAAACTACACTGTAAGAGTCTCTGTCCCAAAGACTTTGCAAGATGAGGCCCTAATCCTGCATTGCAGCTCCCTGCAGTTGGACCCTTGAACCGGCACAAAGCCCCACTGAGGCCAGTGGGGGTTCTGCAGGAGTCTACCTCACCTACCAGCTTGCAGGATGTAAGAGTGAATGGGGAGGGAGGGCAAGGCTAACAGTGACAAGAGCTCATGGTTACCTAGATTAGCTATGGGCACAATTAGCAGGAATCAGCTGACTTTAAAAAAAAATCTCTCTGTAATTGTGACAGTAAGTCATAGCTTTCATTTACATAAGAACGGCCGTACCGGGTCAGACCAAAGGTCCATCTAGCCCAGTATCCTGTCTACCGACAGTGGCCATTGCCAGGTGCCCCAGAGGGAGTGTACCTAACAGGCAATGATCAAGTGATCTCTCTCCTGCCATTCATCTCCATCCTCTGACAAACAGAGGCTAGGGACACCATTCCTTACCCATCCTGGCTAATAGCCATTAATGGACTTAACCACCATGAATTTATCTAGTTCTCTTTTAAACGCATTTGGTGATGCCTGAACTACCGTGGGCACAAAGTCCAAAAGAACCGCAATATAGGACAACAATTAGATCACTTTGTGTATATATATTTTTGTTCAATGTGTGGCCTCTCTGTATTTTGTACCTAAATTACAGGGAAACTTGTTTTAAAACAGTATTAAGGTATCTCTTTCCAAACATCTGTGAACATCTCTCCTGCTGGCACCATTAACTTTGTAACCTTAATAAATTGGTTGTATTGATAAACATGGAGAGTCTTTCTCTGTTTGCTCTTGCAAATGTTTTCCTGATGTTTGATCTACCCTAGATTGAGATTTTTCAGCATGTGGTGTTGATATTTGAGTCACTAAAACTCTTGGCAGCCAGGGATTGATGTTCACAGAATCTGTGTTTTGGATCGAACCATCAGTCATGCTTTCCATTCTCAGCTGGTCTTTTGTGGCCACAAGCTATAAAACAGTGTATGCTGCATGGCTGATGCTGATGGAGGAAATGGGAAAGGCCCTCTCTGAGTTTCAGCAGAGAGTTAATGCCCTCCTCAGACCTCAGACAGTTGTTCAGCTCTACTTTATTACCTGCTCCTGGGGCCTGAAAGTCTAATCAGGCACTCAAGAAGCTATATGATTAACAGCTTGCTAACCAGGCCTTTCAGAAGGGTAAGCTCCAGTAACTATCAGAGGAGAGGGCACATGGCAGAGCTGGGATGAGAACCCAGGTTTCCTCAACCCAAGTTGTGTGTGTGTTTTCTAATTATGTTAACTTTTTTAAAGGTGTTTTGTGGTCACAATATTCTCCAACACTTCAACAATGAAGCTTGC